ACCATTTTCCTGATAAGACTCAATGATTTACCGTTAGGACACACTAACGGACCGAATATAGAATACAATGAATCCTAAACTTAAGCTCTAAGTAAAAGAGTACACAACGCGGAAGTCACACAACAAAAGACACCCTAGGGACACTTGAACCTGGAGTGCTCTGATACCAACTGTGATACCCCCTAATTTTGGAACACGGATTGATCAAGTCCGCGCACAAAATCAAGGGATATCAAAACAATTTAAGTATTTAACAAGCACAGAATACAAAGATGAATAATAAAGAATAAATAAACCGCTGAAGAAAACTAATAAATAAATATTACTTAATGATTCTCCAACAATTACAATTCGGAAATCCCATAACTCAAGGACCCCTTAAAACATTATCCAATAATCCAATACTATTTAAAAGTACACAAGATGAATAGACGAATGACAGTCTCCCAGCTGCGGATCCTCAACCTCGAGACTGGAACCTCTAATAACCTGAAAAATAAATCGTGGGTTAAACCCTACGAGCAAGTTCACTCTACCAGGCCTCTGAAAACCAATAAGCAGATCATCTCTGATCAAAACCAAACCTAATAAAGTTTTAACTTTAATAAAGCACGATATGCATGTCTATATATAATTATATATACTATACTAATCACATCCACTAATAGGTTTATTAAATTTTCATACCTATTAAATAATTATTAAAATAATATTCATACCTAGACCAATCTACCATTTCAATTTATAAAAACTCCTTTGACCTTAATCCCATCCTAGTCAGTTGTCTAATCATTTAAACAACAAATTATAATAAAAGAAATACTCTATTTAATCCCAACCCGATAATGATTTTAATTGTTTAAATCACATATCCAAAATCCAAGTTTTGACAAATCATCCACGTCTTCCCCAATATTATTTTATTAATGTAAAATAATACACTAACCAGTAAGTACTAAACTATTCTCATTTAAGAATATCTAACCCTAATCCAATCCATACATACAACAACCATAGATGATATTTTAATCATCTAACACATAACAACGTAATTATGCTTTGGCAAATCAACCATACCATTGTAAATATTTTTATTTATATATTGGCAATTCAACCATGCTTCCATAAGTATATTTATTTATACATTGGCAATTCAACCATGCCTCCGTGTATGTATATTTATACATTGGCAATTCAACCATGCCTCCACAGGTATATTTATTCATACATTTAATTAGCAATTCATCCATGCTTTCCATATATGTATTATATTCATACAAATATTTAGGTAATATATTTAATCATTTAACAATTCATCCATGCCCACACTTTAACCATGAATTAACTTTAAAATTAACAATACGCTAAATCATACATAGCCATCACATGCATATTATACGCATATCATTAATTTAACAACCAGCCTATTAAGATATGCCAAATAAGAATGATAATATTAATCATCTTAAATGATTTATATATATATATATACCTACACATATGTTATTTAATGTATATATGTGTTTAACACCTTCTTTAATAATCCTTGATTATTTAAAATCAATATACATACATACATACATATATATATATATTCATCCTTTCATACAACTCATAGACAAATTAAACTATATATACCCATATATAAATAATTATATATATATATATATATAATTATTTATATATGGGTATATATATACACTTCCTTCCATAACAAATTATTAATTTATTATATTTACACAAATTAGTGCAACTAAATATGTCAGAAATAGTTTCCTTTAAATACTCCATACCGGTTTAAATAGTTTTCCGACACCGTCTCACTAAAACGTAAATATCTCTTATTAGGATAAGAATCTGATAATGAAATTGGTACCATTGGAAAGAGGACGAAAAATCCTTGAATTTGAGCTCAAGAATGACCCAATTTCGATTTAAGATGACTTAGTTATGACCGTTTTAATTTTATGTCACAAACAGACAAAATAATTGGCTAAGCTCAAACACTACTGTGAGCGCGCCCACACTTAATTAGCTCACTTGAGCTCACACAAACGCACCCACACCAGATTAGTTCACTTGAGCTCACATGTATGCACCCACACCAGATAAATCTTCTGTTGACCAAACTTAATCCATGGTCCAGATTCACATGCGCACTCTTTTATGTACACCGTAATGCACCGAATCATTCCACTTATATTTAAACTATTCCAATGGCCTAGATCAGTGATGTAACCTTTTACTATGTATTCTACCACACTAGATCATACCTCGAATCACCCATCTCCTGATTTATGCGCCGATTCACACAGAGTGCATAGAATTAATTTAAAATTTAATAAAAATAATTCTAAAATAAATTCCAGAATATAAAAAAATTACAAAACAAATTCTAAAAATATTCTGAAAAGTACAGAAAAATTCCAGAAAATATAAAAACCAAAATTAATCCCCTTAGGTCACAGTTCCACCTATACATTGATTTTAATATATATATCCAACATCTACATATACAAATAAAATCCAATAATCCAAAATTAAAAATATATAATAATTCATACTTTTAAATAATCATATCTAAACACAATTTAATAAAATAAATTAACTTGATGCTTTTAATTAATCCAAATTAATAATTTAATTAGAGCCTTAATACTTAAGATGAAATCCTTATAGGTTCTAAGAGGAAAAATAGAGAAAACTCGCCTGAAGGTTTCGAAACGAAACCGACGCTTCAAGCTTTAATTATCTCTTCCAATTCCGACGTCCTCCTTTTCAGATCCGACCTCCTCCTTGTCAGCAGCCCTTCTTCTTCCTCTCTCTCTGTCTATTTTATTTTTCTAACGTGTAAAACCTTTAACCCTAAAGCTTTATGTGTATTTTTATACACCTTAAATTCCAAATCCTATTCCAACTAGTATTATGAATTAAAATAATAACCTTTAAATAATTTATATCTATAAACATATATTATATATAAATATATATTCCTTCCATAATTAACTCATTAGTTAATTAAATCATATATACTTATAAATATCAATAAATATATATCTATATATATATCTTTCCATAACAATTATTAATTAATTATATTTATATATAATTATATATATATATATATATATATATATATATATATAAATATAATTGATATAAAAGTGATCATTTAAATAATTAAATAACCACGGACCTTCATTAATTAACCCAATAAGGTTTCATACAAGCCCAAGACCACATCTTTTGGTCCAACTTTCCTTAAGCCCAATCCAATTAATTTAAATAAATAAGATAATTAATTAAATACAGAAATTAAAATAACTAATTACATGAAGCACATAAACAAACAAGAATTTACAACTAAGTCATATAATACCAATAAAATCAACACACCAATAATTCAATCAATAATCAACCACACAAACAATCAATCATCATACATAATCACGAAATATAACTTAATTAAAATAAGATAATTAATCTAGCACTCAATAAAATAAAATAAATCATTGAAAAATAAAATAAAATAATTAATCCTAATTAATAAATCTTTTAAAATTATCGGGGTATTACATAATAATAAAAAACATGTAATTAATTAGCAACCTAATTAGCATTCCTCATTTTGAAAATACCGAATCAAAAGGCTTTTAAAATCTGATTTAATGCATTCCCTAGGCTAAATCTGACGCAATGCATTCCCTGGGCTTGTGCCAAGCCTAACTACTAGAGATGGTTCGGTTAATTTGCAACCTTACTCTGCTAATGTCATTTACAAACAATGTCCCACTGGACTTTCAATGCCACACACTAGGGTTTTTGGAAGAGTTAGAGAATGTTAAAAACAATTTATTTATTTTTAGTTCTAAAATTTAATTAATAAATAAATTAGAAGAATTGTGAAGTAAATAAAGCACAAATAATCACGCTAATGCTATCAACTCATTAGTGGTACTTTATGAGATACTCTGTATGAGAATACAAGTAGAAGCAGTGGTGTAGCTAGGAATTTCTTTCAGTGGGGGCAATTTTTAATAGCAATAATAGATATATATATATATATACATACATATATATATATATATAATTTGAACCAAAATAATATATGTAAAAATTAAAATATTGATTCATAACATTTCTATTCAGTACATTCACAACTGCCATCGACTATTTTTCATATTCTGAAAGCGTTGAATAATAACATCATTGTCAACAGTACTAAATATGCCTCTCTCAATATACACAACTATCATATCATTCATCCATTGGTCTTCCATTCGATTGCGCAGTCGAGTTTTCAAAATATTCATGGCAAAAAAAGCCCTCTCCACTGTGGCAGTAGCAACCAACAAAATCAATGCCAATTTCAAAAACAAGTAAACTAATGGATAAGCCTTGTCTCTTTTTGTCTTAACCATTCTTCGAACAAGATCACATGTCAATAATATAAGTGTTAAGTTGATCACCAAGTTTCAGGAGGTCTAACGGAGCAAAATCTCTCGGATAAAATTTAGCAAGTCGGATTAGTTTTTCCTTATCAAAAGAAGCGAATGAAGCATCTGGACACAAACACGATGTACAAATAAGCAACTCAGTGTTTGGCTCACTGAAACGACTATTCAGTCTTGAAGTTGCATGTCCAACACAGCATAGAACAATTGTGCACGATAATAATGCAAATTTGTGATTTCATTAGCTTTACGTCGTGATCGCCCTGGAGTTACAAGTGTATCATTCATGTTGGGAACTTCAATACCATGTTTTTAACAAAAAGAAGAAACTTGATCGAGTAAAGAATCCCAACCACTCTCTCTTATCATTTGAAGTTCTTTCTTGCATACTTTAATTAAGGACATAACATTTACAATGTCTTGATTTTTCTTTTGCAGTGCCTTTGACAATTCATTTGTAACTCCCAAAATAGCCCTCATTAAATGGAGAGTAAAGACAAAACTAAATGACTGCATGAGTGTCAATAAAATTTTTGCTTTAGATCTCTATTCAACATATGATCCATCATCTATAATTATCTCAAGCACATCAATAACAGATGAGAACATGGAAATCAAGCTGATTAAAGTATCATAGTGAGAGCCCCAACGTGTATCACTAGCACGCTTCAAAGTAGTATTTTGATTAAGACCCCATCCACTTTCAATTTCACCATTATTGAGTGCTTCAATAACCATGGTAGCTTGTTTTTCATGAAGAATTTTTACGACGTTTACATGAAGGCCCAATAACATTGACCACATTAGCAACATAGCTAAAAAAAGTAGTGATATCAACATGACTTTTTGCAACTTTCACAAGAGCCAACTGTAGTTGATGAGCAAAACAATGGACATAAAAAGCACATTCATTTTCCTTTAAAATTAGTGTTTTAAGACCATTAAATTTGCCTTGCATATTACTAGCTCCATCATATCCTTGCCCGCACAATCTAGTTATACTCAGTCCATGCCTACAAAATAGTTCATCAATTGCCATCTTAAGTGAAAGAGCAGTGGTACTTGTAACATGTCCAACATCTATAAAACGTTCAATTACATCAGCATCCATATCCACATAACGAAATACAATAGCCATTTGTTCCTTTGTTGATATGTCACGAGATTCATCAATCATGATAGAAAATATTTCATCTCCAATATCACTAATAATAACACTAATAGTTTCAATGGCAGCAACATTCACAATATCCTTTTGAATATCAGGTGAGGTTAATTTAAGATTTTCAGAAGCATTCTTTAATGCTACTGATTTAACATCCTCATTATGATTAGCAAGAAACTTTAAAAGCTGGAGGAAATTTCCTTGATTACTTGAATGCTCAGATTCATCATGACCACGAAATGCAAGCCCTTGCTCTAACAAATACCGAATACAAATCAATTGATGCAGTCAAACGCTTTCGATAATCAATTCGAGTCTGGTTTGATTGCTTGAAAAGTATTGTTTGAATGTGTTGATTTTTGATTCTTTAAAGCTTCATATTAATTCCAAGCTTGGTTGTGGGCACTATTTGGCCCTCCAACATGAATTTGAAGTCTGTTTTTCTTCTTCCAATTTGAAAATCTTTCACTAACAAAAGAGTCACCACCTGATTGTTCTCCTATATTATGCTTAAAAAGATAGCAATATAAACAAAATAATGCATATTTTGAAATACTGTATTCTAACCAATTAGAATAATCATTAAACCAATCAGGATTAAATCGTCTTAACACTGATGCTTGTCCAAATTTCTTTTGTGAAAATTTATGTTTCCGAGGTTGACAAGGACCATTTAGTATATATGCTCTGCGAATTTGGTCTTGAATATTGGGATTGTAATCTGTAATCCTAATTCGTAACCCGATCTGAAGGAAGATTTGGTAAAGTTAATTTCCATACGACTTTTTTTTTGGGTTGTCATCATTTATTTCTTGAGGTTGATCTGAAGGAAGATTTGGTAAGTCAATTTCCATATGACTTTTTTTTTGGGTTGTCATCATTTCTTTCTTGAGGTTGAGGGGATGATAAGTCTTGTATTCTTTTGTAATATCTTTTCAAATTATTCATTGCTGTTTCAAAAATAAGTTCATTCAAATAATGAAATAAATATACTAAAAAAACAATCATATTCAATGAATGAAGAATAAGATATGAAAAAAAAAAAAAAAAACATAGTTACTTAAATATAACTATTCTAATATATTATATATCACATATGTAAAAATAAATAAAATTAAATTACATGATAATTGATAACCAATTTCATTCCAAAAAATTTCATGATAAGAATTAAGAAACATTCTTAATAACTACCATGTCTGTCAATCGACTCATAATAAAAATTCATTCATATTAAAAATAAAATAAAAAGCAAAGATATGAAGATAACTAATCTTATAAGTTAAAACCATTTAAGCCAATCAATCACAAAATTTGATAGAGTAAGTGAATATGTGATTTCATTGATTTGGGCTGCAAGCCTGCAAATAAAAAAAAAATTCTTAAGTCATATATATAGAATAATAATTAGTAACACAATTATACAAATTAAATTTTGAAAGAATAAGCCCTAAAATAATTTTGATAGAAATAACTAATAATTTTTCTAATTAAAGTTATAATATCAAATAATAATTGTAAATTTAGATGATAAAAAAAAAATAGTATGACTTACTGAGATTCTGTTTACTAGTAAAGTGGTATGGTTACTCCGCTTGCTTTTTTTGGATTGTGCATTTGTGAAATGTTGAAGACTCGCAGAAAGAAAAATATTGAAGACTGAAAAATTGAAAATGCGATGGAAACAACGCATTTGCTTGTGGTAAAGTCAAAAAAAATATCTTTATTTTTTTGGAAAAAGTAGGAAATAATATAATATTTTGAGAAAGTCAAAAAAAAATATCATATTGTTTGGGAAAGTAGAATATAATATTTTGGGAAAATGAAAAAAAAATTATATTTTGTGGGAAAGTGTAAAACCGTGAACGAGTTTTGATTATATATATATATGTGTGCACTGTTAAATTTTAGTATACATATATAAAAATCTTCCTATAAAAAAAATAATAATAATAATAAAAAAAATTAAAAGTTCAGTGGGGGCAGTTGCCCCCACTTGTCCCTCTGTGGCCACGCCACTGAGTAGAAGGTGGGAGTACCATGTATCTTGGCAAGGTAAAAATAAAAATGTTCAATTTTATTATTATTATTATTATTATTTATTATTATTTATTATTTATTTTTTTCTAGTTGGTACTCACACGCACATGACTCCATCGAGGTTTGAACCCCTTACATTCTTTTGAGAAGCAGGGGTATAGTACCGGGGAACGGATCTTCTCCAAGAAAAGTTCTCTCCAAGTATCTACATGTATTAATCTTACGACTATTAATGCGCCACATCAATAACTTATTTGACTCAATACATTAAAAGTTACTGCACTTTCTTAAAATATCTAAGTAGATTAAATTACAAGTTTACCCACATTAAAAAAAAAAAAATTATCTTTCTCCTATCTTCCTTCCCTCTCCTATATATATATATATATATATATATATATATATATATATATATATATATATATATATATCTACAGATTATATATTTAAGAGTTTGAACAGTTTTGTTGATTGCCATCACCAAGCATTAGAATTATTAATTGATTCTGTTGGGGTTGAAATTCGCCCCGGCTTGGTATGACACCGTTTCCTGCAAAACAAAGATGGCTAAGTCAAACACCGGTGTGGTGTCGGCCATTGACCCTCCTACGATCAAGTTAGTGGGGGTTTCTAGAGAAAGAATTTCTATCGTAATCGTTCTAATAGGAGTTTTTTTTTTTTTTTTTTTTTTTTTTTTTTTTTTTTTGTACTTTATTCCAGAGTCGTCTTCATATTTATGGTCACTTCCTTATCCTTGATAAGGGAATATCATCATTCTTATCCAATAAAAATCTTATCCTTGATAACGAAATGTCATCATTTTTATCCAATGGAAATCTTATCATTGATAACGAAATATCATCATTCGAAAGTCGAAGAGGTCTGGCGGCTGGTGAACACTTAGTTGCCACTATCGTTACGTCAATGTATATTAGGTTTATTTTTCCTTATCAGTTGCCCCCTATTTCCGGGTATGTTTCGGACCAAGGAAATAGTGACTAATATGTATATATACTTTCTTATATTTTATTTATTTCCTTTTTATTACAAGCCCCCTTCCAAATTTTAGTAGGACTTTTTCACTAGAATTTCATTGTTACTCAAAAAGGATTTTCCTATAAATAAATAAATATTTATTTACCTCCCTTCTTTTTTTCTTTTGTTGTTGTCTAAAATCCTTTAAGCTGGATCATGACTCTGAGTTTCTTGTGGATCGTTGTAGTTATTATTGTTTTTACTTGGATTTTTCCAAACCTCAATTTACGAGATACGTAGTTGGGTCCAGTCGTCTATGTCGGGTTGTTGGTGTAATTCCAAAATGGTACTGTTTTCACGATATCCACAATCACATCATGTCTGTGCATGAAGATAACTTGAATGTTGAATCCCAATCTCAAGATTCAAATTCTGAAAGTGTTGAAGAACTTGATCCTGGTTATGCTGGCGAATCTGGTGTTGATTACCCCTCAAAACCAAGGACTGCTTTTTCCAAGCAACTCCCACGTGAAAGAAAATCCTTAATTAAGGATGAGAATTTACATAATTTTAGACTGAAATATTTCATTCCTTCATCTATTCACCTTCACAGCCCCAAACCAGAGGATAGATGTTCTTCTGTTCGTTTCGGTGAGGTATGCTTTTTCGAGTCGACTTTTACTGCTGGTTTGCGTTTTCCGATTCATCCATTTGTAGAAGATTTATTTTCCCATCTAAAGATAGCTCATTCTCAAATTGCCACACCTTTCCCAAACAATTCTCCATGAATTAGGGGCAATTTGAGAATGAGCTATTTTTAGATGGGAAAGTAAATCTTCTCCAAATGGATGAATCGGAAAACGCAAACCAGCAGTAAAAGTCGACTCGAAAAAGTATGCCTCACCCAAACGAACAAAAGAACATCTATCCTTTGGTTTGGGTTTGTGAAGGTGAATAGATGAAGAATGGAATATTTCAATCTCCAATTATGTAAATTCTCATCCTTAATTAAGGATTCTCCTTCACGTGGGGGTTGCTTGGAAAAAGCAGTCCTTGGTTTTGAGGGGTAATCAACACCAGATTTGCCAGCATAATCAAGATCAAGTTCTCAACACTTTCAGAATTTGAATTTTGAGATTGGGAATCAACATTCAAGTTAGACATGATAAGATTGTGGATATCGTGAAAATAATGAAACCACTTTGGAATTACACCAACAACCCGACAGAGACGACTGGACCCAACTACGTATCTCGTAAATTAAGGTTTGGAAGAATCCAAGTAAAAACAATAATAACTACAACGATTCATAAGAAACTCAGAGTCATGATCCAGCTTAAAGGATTTTAGATAACAAGAAAAGAAAAAAAAGGGAGGTATATATATATATATATATAGGAAAATCCTTTTTAAGTAACAATGAAATTCTCGTGAAAGAGTCTTACTAAAATTTGGAAGGGGGCTTGTAATAAAAAGGAAATAAATAAAATATAAGAAAGTATATATACATATTAGTCACTATCTCCTTCGTTCAAAACATACTCGAAAATAGGGGACAACTGATAGGGAAAAATAAACGTAACCTACCTTGACCTAACGATAGAGGCAACTAAGTGTTGACCAGCCACCAGACCTCTGCGACTTTCGAACGATGATATTTCATTATCAAGGATAAGATTTCCATTGGATAAGAATGATGATATTCCTTTATCAAAGATAAGGGAAGTGACGATAAATATGAAGACGACAAGGTACCCAAAAAAAAAACTCCTATTAGAACGATTACGATAGAAATTCTTTCTCTAAAAACCCCCACTAACTTAATCGTCGGAGAGTCAACGGCCGGCACCACACCGGTGTTTGACTTAGCCATCTTTGTTTTGCAGGAAACGGTGTCGTACCAGACTGCGGTGAATTTCAACCCCAACAGATTCGAAGGCTTCAAGTTTGAACAGTTTTGTTGATTGGAGGTTTAAAGCATTTGTTCACCACTTTTCAACGGGTTCTTGTGAACCTAATTTGATGCGACACACAACTCTCTGGAACGACATAGAAAGAAAGAAAGAAAGAAAGAAAGAGGAGGTTTGAGAGAGAGAGTTTTCAATGGTGGATCAAGAAAAGGAGCAAATTGGGTTTGTTGTTCAAGCCGTGATTGCGAGCTGCGTGCAATATCATCAGCGAAACTAACTGATCCGGGTTTTGGGGTTGTTGAAGGGAATGAGGAGAAGAGAGAAAAAAAAAATAAATAAAAATAAAAAATAAAAAATTGTGTGGGTAAACTTGTAATTTAACATAGTTAGATATTTTAAGAAAGTGCCGTAACTTTTAGTGTATTCAGTGAGTCAAATAATTTATTAATGTGACACCCTAGTAGTTATGGGATTAATACTTGTAGATGCTTAGAGAGAATTTTTCTTAGAGAGGATATGTTCCCCTAGTACCGTTAAGCCACTTGCATGTTAATTATAAAAATGATCAATCAAATTACAATAATGCCATAAGACTACAACGGGATTGAAGTGATATGAAAGTTAAAATATTATTTAATAATTGAATAAGAGTGATATGAAAGTTAAAATATTATTTAATAATTGAATAAGGCGGTGTTTGCACCCTTAGGGTTCGTTTGGTTAGCATGAAGTAAAAAGAATATTTCTTGCAAAAAACACAGGGAAATTTTACTTTCCCGTAAAAGTGATGTCTTATTATGCCCATGCCACTTTCTCCACAAACTTCATTAATAAGTCAGTTTCCTTCTATTGTAAATTACTTATATGTTAATATAATATTAATTTAATTATATGTGTGCATAAAATTAAAATGTTATTATATTTTTTTCCAATCATAATTAATAATGATTTAGAGTGATATATATATATATATATATATATATATATATATATATATATATATATATTTATGAGCCGAGTGTAGGGTGAAAAACTAAGATTAGTGTCTCTACGTATATAATTTACAATTTAATTCATACATGGACTTCTCTCAACTTTAGGACTCTAAGAAAATTAGATGTAGCAAACTAATTTAGTTTTAATTCTACATATACTAGATACATCATCAAACTCATTTAGTTGAAACACTATATTTCGTTTAGATTCAAATTTTTTAACTAAAAGGATAGATTTGATAATTACAATCACTTTTTTTTCACTTTCATGTTTTCCAAACTCACAAAATAATATTTTCTTACAACTTTTTTGAAAAAATTTCTTGCTAACCAAATGCGCGATAGAAACTTAATTTCCTTTTCCTTTCTTTCACTTTCACTTTCCATTATAATTTCCGTCTAACCAAACGAACTCCTAGGGAAAAGTTCTTGGATAGAAGCGAAGCCCACCCAAAAAGAAAAATAATAAAATAAAATTTTACTATATCTAATTATAGCCAAATTAAAAATATATATATTATTATTATTAATTCATCCAAAAAAAAATATTAACTCACCGTTGACAATTCCACAATTTACTTTTGATAGAAGGTATGTATGTACTTTCTTATAGACGATAAAAATCTTATACTAGGATGCAGAACCGTCGTCAGCGGCGGCGATCTTCCACTGTAAAAAAAAAAAAAAAAGAAAAAAAAGAAAAGGTAATCAACAATAAAATAAAACAAGACGGAAAAACAAAATTGCATAACCTCGATCTGTCCTAGAAACATACCTTTCAAAGTAGTAGGCACCCCACAAACATCACACCTAAAAACAAACAACTCATTCGGCATCTTGACTTTAATCAAATTCCCGCATTCACAGTCGAAACTCCAAATCTAAAATAAATTGATTCTATGTATTCATAAATAAAAAATAAATAAATAAATAAAATTGGATTAGGGTTGTGTGTACCGTAAAGGGCACGGTCGGCCGCCGCTGGGGCGGCAGTTAGTGCCGGATTCAGATTCTCCATTATTGGAGTTCAATTAACTATGCAATGGCTTTTGCCTTTTGCCTTTTGCATTATATATGTGTATATGAGGATTCTTACAGCAACCTGATTGGATTGGATGAACAACTTGGGCCCACCACACATACAAAATACTCCTTCTGTGTATCTTTTGGAAACTGTTCCTTCACTCGGTTTTGTTCTATTTAATACGGGTGTTGTACATTCTTATATACGGTAGACTTGGTCAGTGTTCCATTTAATACGGGTGCTACACATTCTATTGTATTTCGTTTTTTTGTTTTTTGTCGCCCCATGTGATGGATTTTTAATCATCAACCTCAATCTAGGTTTTTTGTAAATAATAAAAAATTAAAATTAAAAATAAAAATAAAAATTTTACATAATAAAAAAATATATTTTTTAAAAAAATATTTTGCATCTAGACAAACAGAGCTTAAATTTAACTCCTTCTTTCCTTTTTTTCCTTCTAATTCTATTATATTTCTAACTCTTCCTCCAATTTATCATTAAAAAATACATTATTTATATTTTTAATAATAAATTTACATTTTTCCTAATTCTATAATTTTCTAACTCTATCAAAAAAAATTTCTTATAATTCTAATATCTTTCCAACCGCAAATATATATATATATATATATATATATATATATATAATTTTTATTTTTATAATGCATAACACAGGCTCTTCCTAAGTAATAAAATATATATATATATATATATATATTTACCTTTTTTTCTTCTAATTCAGTTCCTGTGAACAACGATTGATTATTTTCCAAAAATCTGACTTTATTGTATCTAAACAGTTCTCTTTTTTTCTGCATGATTGTTATTCCGGTAATCATAGATGGGAGCCAAACAAAATCAACGACAAAGGTGCAAACTAACTAATTACTGTATAATCTATGGGATGGGAAAAGCAAAAACTCATGTCGCGTTAAAAAGATTATGTGACTTAAATTTTACCTTGGCGCAACTTTTCTCATTTTACACTTGTGACTTCTAAAGTCACAATAGAACCACCTCATTATTAGCTCCAAAGCCTGTTCTCAAGTGACTCATTAAAAACCAGACCAAAATTCAAGGACATTCCCAATTTTCCCGCGCGCAAATATTTTTCCTATTACAAAGTCCAAAAGTTTCAAAGCAGCAAGTTTTAGAATCAGTTTATATTTCTCATCTAAACTGAAATATTTACAAACAAGGAACAAGGCAAATGCAAAGAAGAAAATTTTAACCTAGCACTGAGGGAAAATACAAGTTGGTCCTTACATAGAGTTGATAATAAATGATAATTTCTCTATCAGATCAAAAATATAATACAGGTAAACTATTGTTACTGTCAACGCAATTTCACGGCTTTACTAGGCTTCCCCTTCCGTCCTGTTCTTGGAACGTTTTCACAGTCACCGAGTACCAATGAGATGGGTTTGGATTCTGTGAAAGGAGAGAGAGTCCCGAGTCCAAGGTAGTGGTCGAATTAGGGAGTCTGAGTGGTCCACCGCCCCTGCCGCCGCCACTTTCTTTTCTGCAGTGTGTGGGACGTGAATAAAAGAAAGGTTAGGTTGGGGGTTTGGTTATATTGAGATTATAACAAACTTGGAAGGGCAGCTTCGTCTTTTTACATTTTCAAATTACAACATAATTCAGAGGAGTTTCTTGTAATTTAAGAGGATTAGTTGTAAAACCCCTATAGTTCAGGGTTTTTTTTTTTTTTTTTTTTTTTTTTTTTTTTTTTTTTGCATTTAACCCTTTATTAAATGAATTAATCAACTAATCAATGTAGAAGAACGAGAATGAGGCACTTACCAAAAAATTAAAAAAAAAAAATTTGAGGCATTAAGTTTTGTTAACTGAAAATGAATTCATTGGAATTGAATCCCTTACCAGTAAATTTTAAAATAAACTTTTATGTATTATTTGAAATTTAGTTTTGATTCACACAAACAAATTTGAAAAACTAATAAAACCAATATTCAAGGTGCTTTTTAAATTAAAAAAAAAAATCCTGAAATGTTCAAGTTGCTTTGAATTGTTTAAAAATACGCAAATTTGATAACTTCGGATTGGCTTTCAATTGTTGAAGAACATACAATTGAATATTTTACAAATTTTCAATTATTAACTTTGGATTTATTAGTTAACTACACTTTAAAATGCATAAGACCTTTTATTTATCAACTTAAAATAGGAAATTTATGTCAAATTGTTTTATTAGACTTTTAAGTGCTAAAATTGCTTTTTGTTGACTGAGGGACATTGCTAAACGGCCACAATTTTTAACATGATTAAATTATGCACGGGCAAAATAAGAAAAATTTGTGATCTGATCCGATTCAATGATTCCATAGATTATTTATAAATTAAAACACATTCATTTGGAGTCTATCAAATATCCAACTCGACAACTTTATTTGTTAAGAGGTATAATTTTCATTGAGAATTTTAATATAAAAAATAGATAAGCAAAATAAGTTATAACGGAGAGGAAAATTAAAAAGACAGACCAATAAAAATGAAAAAATATATATATATATAGTTTTTGACTATTTGTAAAAAAATAATAATATTTTTGAGGACTTTAATATTTCGACTTAAAACCGACATAGGTAAAAAAATAATATATTATATATTATAGTAGATCCTACAGGATAATTATTGGGTCAAATTGACCGCATTTCATATCTAATTTGTTAATTTAATGAGTTATCATATTAATATATTTATTTTATATCCAACTTTGTTGAATCAGTTACGGAGAAAAAGTGATCCATTAACAAGTTTAATTATGAGTTTTTAATATCATGTGTTTGTGGTACTTTTCAAAATTTCTAAATCATTCACAATTTTTTTCCCGAGGCGAAGGGTTCTATATATATATATATATTTAGCTCTATTTAGGATATTTTTTAAAAAATAATAATTTAACGAGTTAATCATTGAGTAGGTGATCAATCATTATTATTTAGTGCAAACTTGGATTATTGTAGAATTTTTCCATGAAAACCCTGACATTGTCGTATTTTATTTCAATTAATAATATATAATTGTATGATAACATTAAAAATTAGAGGATTTAATTGTAATTATGAATAGTTGAGAAGCGTATTTGCAACAAATCAAACAGGGGTGTTTAGCGCACTTTCTGCATATTGACAAGTTACATTTAAAATCTATTTACTGCTTGTATTAAACTACATTAATTAATTTAAATAAAGTTCGAAAATTATACCCTTTTGAGATAACAAAAATTTACCAAAGTTAAAAAATTGCACTTTTTTGAAATAAGGAAAATTCACTACTTTAATAACGTTAAGTCATTCTCTCTCCCTAATCTTTTTCTGAAAAAGATTGCTCCCTCTCTCTCTCTCCTCTCTCTCATTTTCACGACTGGGAAAATATTTCACTGAAGGTTCTTTCCCACGATTTTTGGTGCCTAGAAGCTTTGGTTCACTCTCTTCTTCTGAAATCTAAATTGCAAAATTTCTCTCTTTTTTCACTCTCTCTTCCTTTTCATTCTTTTTTTTTGAAATCTAAATTGCAAAATTCCTCTCTTTTTAAAAAAAAAAAAAAAAAAAAAATTTAAACTGCAAAATCGCTCTGGTTCACTCTCTTTTTCTAAAATCTAAATTGCAAAATTCTTCTCTTTTTCTGAAATTTAAATTACAAAATTCTACTCTTTTTTGAAATTTAAAATGCAAAATTCATTATAGAGGTTTTTAAGCAAGAGGAGAGAGAGGGAGGTTCTTTTCCAAAAAAGATGAGGGAGAGAGAACAACTTTAAAGTTGTTAAAGTATGAATTTTCCTTATTTGAAAGTGGTGCACTTTTCAAACTTTGGTAAATTTTCCTTATGTCAAAATAGTGCAGTTTTCAAACATTCCTAAATTTTCCTTATGTGCAGTTTTCAAACTTTCTTTAAATTTATTGACATGGTTTAATATAAGTACTAAATAGATTTTAAACGTAACGTGTGTAGAGAAGATTTAACTTAGAGGATCAAGTCCCTTGGAGAAGAAGCCAATCAATACCGTTAATTCAATTCCGAAGTTCAAAATGGCTCTGCGAAACGAGGAGATGGTACGTAACAATATGATTAGGATTTAAGAGGCTTTGCTTTTGATAATGAATTAGGTTAATTTAGAGTCTATGCTGTTGGATCAATTATTCTGGTTTATATTTTGTCAAATTTAGGGTTTGTTGGGTTGTTACTTAGCCTGTTTGGAAAACATGGACGAATGTTCTTCAATTTGTGATTTCTCTGTGATTGTGAATGGTAATTTTTCTTGCAGTTGGAACAGGAACTGAAAATTCAGAAAATTGTATAAAAATGATTTCAGTTACAAATTAAAAAGCCCTTTTCGGAGAAATGAAAATCAGAAAATTGTGCAAAAATCAGTTTGTTTAGAGTATGTGCTGTTGAATCAGTTTTACCTACTGATGTTTGTGATCCCGAGGTTCAGTATGCACGTTATTACTGTTATTCAGTTAATTATGAATCCTTAGGGCCATTGATATATGATAATACTATGTATATCATTTTAAGAATATGTTAAGTAACTTCATATAAGCAATTGCACCAATTTTTGTTTTTTTTGCTAACTCTTGGTTATTGTGGTTGATATTTTGTCATATTGAGGGTTTGTTGAGTTAATTGTTGCTGGGCCTGTTTGGGAAAATTGGGTGTTCTTTTTTCTTTTCAATTTGTGATTTTCCTGTCACCGTGAATGGTAATTTTTGTTGCAGTTGGAACAGCTACCTGCAATGGTTGAGGGTGTTTGGTCCAATGAGGTCCACCTGCAGCTCGAGATGACTACCCAATTCCGGAATTTGCTATCAACAGGTGACAAGTGGTCCTTATTATTATTTTTTTTTATAAGTAATAATGAATTAAAAAAGGCTTTCCTTTTGAACGTGTCCCTTAAACATTAGTGAAACCGGAAGCTAAGACTCCAAAAAATCCAAAAAATTAATTAAATCATCAGAAGAGGAGCAAGAACTCCTCTTCACATAACTAAAGAGAGAATCAATAATAAAAAGTTTTAGCGTCGTCATAAACGACTCATTCCCTTCGAATATTCTACTATTTCTCTCCTTCCGGATACACCACCAGACGCAATGTAGGACAATTGGTCCTTATTATATGTTCATTCACATATTTTATGGTTAGGAGATGCATGAATTTTAACGTTAGTTTTTTTATCAGGTGTTTGTCCTCCGATTGAAGACGTAGTGAAATGTGGTGTTGTTCCACGTTTTGTTGAGTTTCTTGCAAGGGAGGACTCCCCACAACTTCAGGTCTGGCATGTTTTTTTCCGTTATCTAACCTTTCTTTTTAAGTCTCTGTATTGATGCAATATTATGTTTTCAATCTTCACTGTTTTCTATAGTTTGTTGCGGCTTGGTGCCTCACAAACATTGCTGCTTGGACATCTGAGAATATCAAGGTAGTAATATTTCATGGGGCCATCCCAATTTTTGTAAAACTTCTTGGCTCTTCTGACCATGATGTTCGCGAGAAGGTACATAATTGTTAGAAATCATAGACTATTGCTCATCTAATCATCTAATATTTTTGTAATTATTATAATTGATATACTTTTAGTTAATGCAGCAAGATAGTTTTACATTTGCAAAACATATAAATAATGGGTGTGTGGTTCCTCCTCCATTTTGGACGTGTAGGCTGTATGTTTCTTGGGAAATGTTGCAGATAATTCCCCAAAATGTCGCGACTTTGTATTTCACCATGATGGATTGCTTCCTTTGCTGGCACAAACACAATTAACTGAGCATGGCAATCTTTCTATAATGAGAAGTGCTACCTGGGCACTTTCGAATCTATGTGGAGGCAAGCCGCAACCGCCTCTTGATCAGGTTGGTCTTTCTGACCTGCTGTTTCCGCTTCTATCTCAAGTTTTATAGATAGAAAACAATTTAGCTTTGTTGAATCGTGTTTAGATGTCTGCTTCTGCTTTTATGGCTGTGTTTCTTTTATTTTGGCACAATCAATTGAATATAAGTATTATTTTCAGAAGATAAGACCGAATCTAAGTTTTTTGAATCATGCTTAGAGAACATCCTGTTAATTTCACCAACTATGATTTACTGAGTATTTCAAAAATCAAAATCAGTCTCTGCCTTAATGGTTGTTTTTACTACAAATGTATCATTCATAGACTTCTTGTTTTCATCTTTAAATTTTATTGAACAGACAAAACTAGCCCTTTCAGCTCTTCTGCGTCTTCTTCACTCGAATGATGATGAAGTGTTGATTGATGCATGTTGGGCTCTCTCACATCTTTCGGATGGCACAAATGATGAAATTCAAGCTGTTATTGAAGCGGGAGTGTGCCCCCGGCTTGTTGCGCTTTTAATGTGAGAATTTTATTTAGTTTTATATGGTTTTTGGGTACTTCTTGTTGGTGCGTTTTATGTCTTTCCTATTATATTTTTGTGCATCCTAAGATTGATATTTTCTTTATTTTGGAATTCTCAGTCACCCATCTCCTTTAGTGGTCTCTCCTGCTCTTCGTACAGTTGGAAACATTGTCACTGGAGATGATACGCAAACAGAGGTGCAGGATTTTTAATCATACATGTATCAATCTATTGGAATTTTGTTTTGTTTTTTTTCATAAAAAATCATGTGATGTTATGTTTTCATGCTTTATATGTCATGATTTATGAGAATAACATATTTCTCAAACACGAACAAGCCAGTTGCTCTAATTCTAGTTTTTCTTAATTTTATTTGATTTTTTTTATAAAAAAAATATATTTCATTTTCATGGTATGTGGAGTTTCTATCCAATCTAATTGAGTATCCTTGCAATGGCCTCTAGTGTATCATCAACCATCAAGTACTACCCCGTCTTCTAATTCTGTTGACAAGTAATTACAAGAAGAGCATTAAGAAGAAAGCTTGTTTAGCCATCTCAAACATCACAGCCGGCAACAAGGAGCAGATTCAGGTATGCAACAGATGTATGAATCTCTTTTTTACGTGTCATCTTGTTGGCTGTGGCATTGGTCGGCTTATGTAATCGAAACTGGTTGTCCATGAGAAAGTGATTATTTCATGCACTGCAGGCTGTGATTGAGGCTAATATTATTGGTCCTCTGGTCCGTCTGCTTCAATATGCGGAGTTCGATCTCAAATTGGAGGCTGCACGGGCAATCTTGAATGCTAGCTTCGGTTGCACTCACCAACAAATAAAGTATGATATTCATATAAAGATTTGTTCACTGTTCTTAATGGTATTATTGCATATTTCAATACGAAGGTTTAATTTTACTTGTTGGTGACAGGTACCTAGCGAGTCAAGGGTGTATCAAGCAATTGTGTGGTCTCCTTGCTTGTCCAGACCCGAGGATTGGGACTGTCTTGAAGGCTGGAGAAGATGAGAAGAATTTGGATCGTACCGGAGGTGTTAATCTCTCTGTTCAAATGATCAATGATGTTGCTGAGGTGGTGGAAAACATTAAGAACCTTCGAATTCGTGATGAATGGGTGATTTATGAGAAGGCATCAAAGATTCTTGAAACATATCGGTTGAAGAAAGACTTAATGCCGCCAGGTGATGCTTCTCAACCATGTTTTGGTTCTGAGTGTGTAGATCATAAATCTGCAACAGTTCTGAGAAGCCATTTGCATTGACGTCCCGTTACATATGGCGGGATAATAGTTGGGTTTATGTCTGGTGTCATAAGGGCGAGCCTTGGTGACCGGAGGTCACCGGTTTGAAACAAGGAAACAACATCTCCTTTATACTCTCTTATTGGAATTATGATTTGTATTTTGTAGGGTTCCACAGAACGGATGTTGCGAAAATCTCTATCCTGCCCACATTTTAGTTACAAGGAGCTTTAGAATTTCCTTTTTGTAAGCATTTGCTATGAGAGTTTACGAGGATCTTGAAAATGTCTCTTTAGGCTCGCGTTTTGTTTTTTTTTTTTCCGGTTACTAGAATATTTTCTATAACTATAAACAACGGAGGATCATCATCATCTATTCCAGTAACCATTTGCTTTGGTTACTGGAATTTATGTATGTGTGTGTGTGTGTGTTTTTTAGCCTCTACTGTTATAAATCTCCCTAAAGTGAGGTGGCTTTAATCCCACTGCCAGTCTCCTTTTATTTTGCTGCCCTCGGGAACTTTCTTAGCTTTGGCTTTCTGCTTTCCCTTTCCTACCTAGTTTTTCTTTTCTTTTATATCTTCACTGTAAATATTAAAATTAATTGTAAAAAGTATGTGTAGATTACAATTTCAAATATATTTCAGGGCTATATTTGTTTATTATTCCTATTGTTGTGAAATTTTAGTTTAAAATTTATGGCACTTTTGTGATTTATGAAATTGGTTCAAGTTTTATTTATTAATTTTGCTTAGGTAAGTAGTCTTCACGCATATGTTTCACAAATAGTTCATTAGGGTTTGAATTCTCACCTCACACCGACCTTTGAAGGAAGAGAGGTTATACTAATAGGTCATTGGTAATTGGTTCTTTTTATACCGGGATAGGGAAAAAAAAAATATTATCATTGTCGTCATCATTCTTGCCTTTATTCAATATAAAGGATGTGGCGGCTAAAATGTCACAGCCGAGACTGGCTCCTTGAGGCAGGATGGCCAGGAATTTGCCAGGAGTGGGTTCGGTGGGAACGATAAGGAGATGGTTCATAGGTCCACAGCCGCGAATAGATGGATCATGGTAGGATTGAAGGTGGTTGTAAGATTGGTCGCCATTGTTTTGCTGCAAAGGTTCTCAACAATACAAGTAATTTGCACGGTGAAAGTCTTTTTTTTTTTCCTTTTTTTTTTTTTTATAACAAAAAAAAAATTCTTTTACAAGTAGAAACTATTATTGGTTACTTTTTCAGTTTTTTGTAATTCCTTTTTAATAGAGTTATTTTCATTAAATAGATAACATTTTGCATGAAGGGTGAATTCTTTTTTATTTTTACCTATAATAAATTTAAACGACTATTCAATATACGATGACAAATGGATGGTCTATATAAAGCATTATGTGATTCCCACATAAATATATCAATTCGTGCCCTTTTAATTATTATTTAGCTGCAAAATATATATATATATATATATATATATATATATATATATATATATATATATATTCACTATTTAGCCCGTCTAAGTTTTAAAAATGTTTAATAATGTTAATGAATCGTAATACTTGTTAAAAAAAAAAAAGAAAAAAAGAAAAAAAGAAAAAAAGTAAGGATAAACTTTGTAACACCCAATTACTCCAGTGTCTAAAATTCAAGTTGCTTTGAATTGTTGAAAAATAAACTATTGAGAATTTGACAAATTTTCATTTGTTAACTTGGACTGTGCTTTCAATTGTTGAAGAATATGTAATTGAAAATTTTTTTTAAAAAAATTCAATTTACTAGTATATACACTTACAAAATGCATAAAACAATTTATTTTTTAACTCAAAATAGGAAATTTATGTAAAATTATTTTATTAGACTTTTAAGTGCTAATATTGATTTTTATTTAGTTCTCCATTTGAGTTTTGCATAGTTATGATTTCTTTGAATAATTTTCGAATCCTTGTCCATAAATATAGATTCACAGTGTAAAAAAAAAAAAAAATCAATAATCACGAGAATAAATATAGATTCTATAACTCAAGAGAAAGGAAGAAAAATTACTCAAAATAATAGTTAACAAAAAAATTAAAAAGGAAAGAAAAATGAAGGGAAAAAAATTGAAGTTTGATTAAAAAAAAAGGAAATTTTGACTTTTTTTGAAGGAAATTAAATGAATTTAAAAGTAAAAAAAAAAAAAAAATACAAAATACAAAATTTAAGAGATAATTTTAGAAAATAAAAATTTTAGGGGAGGCATGATTTTTTTTTTTTTTTTTTTTGCATATATACATGTAAAAATATATAAATTTAGTATATATATTAGTAAGCCGAAAAAAAAAAAAAAACAAACCGTGGTCGACACAAACTAATCTACTAGGGTCAATTTTTATCTACAATTGAATGTTTATCATTATATATATGGTGAAAAATGGTATTTAGTTTATTATTGAAATTGTGAAGTTGGCCCAAAAAGGAGCGATGGAGGGTTTAAGGAGGGTGATTGATTTTTTGAAGACGTTTGGCCAAGAGGATGATGATTCAAAGGTGTTCGACACACAAAAAAGACTCAAGCATGAAGAGTCATACGAAATCCAGGTATGAGAATACTTAAAATTATTAGTTTGCAATTCTTAAAAAGTCCGGAATTTATGTTCTCCTAGAGACACATATGTAGCATGACTTTTAAAGTGAAAGGTTGAGAATTTAAGGAGTATGTGAGTTGGGATCATATTTTTTTGATTTATTTAAAAAAAAAAAAAATTATGTTAAGTTTGATAGCATTTAATTAGTTTATGTTTCAACTACTCATTTATGGATGATTAATTGTGATCTTTCAATTGTTTTTGTGCTACTATTAAATCGAAGAACATGGAGTCTCTAAGAAATTTTTATATTAAATAACTATTTTAATATTATTTTATAACTAATATATTATATATTAAGATATTAATTTTATAATTAATATGCTCCTTACAATAGTATCCATCTCAAACGCATTTATCTTAAACTTGTTCTCAATTTGCTATGAATGAATTTATTTTTGGTTGATTATTAATAACCCACAAATTGCCAATTGAATTGCTCTCTAACATAACTTTTGAATACTATTGGATTCCTTTGTGGTTGGTATAATTTCTCCTCTCAAGGAAAGGTTTTGAATTCCGTTTGATGTTGTTTTAATTTTTAAAGGAAAAAAAAAAGAAATCAAAAAAGAAAAAATATCTCAAATGAGATGCTTTGAAAAAGTTGTCGAAATTAAGGAATGTTGGATTAGAAGTTACGTGAGTGTGATTGGATTTGCAAAATTTGTATAATTAACTTTTCTTTGTAGTTTCGTGCAAATAAAATAAAAAATAAAAATAAAAAAACTTTTCTTTAGTGTCAACGAGTTTAAATTGTGATTTTTGAGCCACGGTAATTCAATATTTTTGTTACCATATGCTTTGTGGTTTTTCACAACTTGGACATGCTTTTTGTTACTTGCAGCAAGCCGAGGAAGACAGTCTGGAAGATGAGGAGTATGTCGTTGTTGAAATAGAAGAAATTCTGGTACCTTAATATGTTAAATGACAATTATATCTATTATATTTTTTATATTTATCATTATGAACAAAAATATTTTTTTCAAATATATATATATTTTTTTAAGGACATGACACCATCTCAGTACGGAAGAGTCGTAACTAGAACCACATGAGATATCAATATTATTTTTAAAATTAAAAGAGAAATCTCTATTATTTAGACACTCGTCAGAGAAGATGGGTCTAATTTATTAGATTAGTGAATGTTGGTTTAATGATGTGTTGTTTCTCATAATTTGTTGGTTAATTGATGTGTTAGTTTCTTATGATATGTTAATTTTCTTGCATTCAATTTTTTTTATTGTTATTGCTATTGTTGTAAAATTTTAGCTTAAAATTTATTGGATCGAATTGTTGGATTAATTTTTTTATTATTATTGTCCATCTTAAATCGAAATCATAAGCTTGGAAGCCAAGTGTTATTATTCTTTAGAAAATTAGAGATATAAAAGCTGTGATTTATTTATTAAGTTGAGAAAGACACACTTATAATTTAATATGGTTTTTAAGGTTGCAGATTGATTAAAAAAATAATTCGTGTTCCATTTCTCAGAAAAAAAAAATTTCATTCATTTATTAATATGTAAAATTATACAAATATTATTGTAAATAACATTTATTAAGATAAATGAAATTTTTGACAACTTGAGATGATCATACTAAATTCAAAACCAGTGTCATAAATCGTAAACAACTCCTGATTGTTGTCTATATTTATACTCATGTCAGTTTTTGTTTGAGTCGTTTCAAATCAAAACCCCAAAACCCTTCGTTGCAAGTTCGCTCGCTCTCTCTCTTCTCTTTCTCTCTCTAGAATCTGGACTCTGGTTACAGTTCAACAATGTCGCTGAGACTGGAAAAGAAAACCGAGGATCGGCGCAACAAGTACAAGGTCGCCGTCGACGCCGAGGAAGGTCGTCGTCGGAGAGAAGACGACATGGTGGAGATTCGAAAGAACCGAAGAGAAGAGAGATTGCAGAAGAAGCGACGGGAGGGGCTTCAAGCCAATTCACAGCCGTTCATTGCCGCAGTGGAAACTGTCTCCGCCATGTAGAAGATGGTAACAGTATTGAATTCATCTTTTTAGCCTTCAAAAACCGAATTCTGTGGGACTAGTTAAATTTTTTCTTACATATCTATATATATACAAGTTCTGGTTAGAATTTGAGAGATTTAGAGTCTACACTGTTGAATCAGTTGTACTAATTGGCATTTGTGGTCAAAAGGTTCAGCATTCACGCTGATTAGAATTTGATCAGTTGTCCTGATTGGTAATTGTGATCACGAGGTTCAGTATACACTCTATATATATATATATAAAATTCAACAGCATATACTCTAAGCCTCTCAAATTCTGATCAGAATATATATATATATATATATATATATATATATATATATATATATATATTCTGATCAGAATAGAATTTGAGAGGCTTAGAGTATATGCTGTTGAATCAGTTGTTCTGATTGGTATTTGTGATCACGAGGTTCAGTATTCACACAATATATATATTTGTGTGTGTGTATATGTATATATTCTGATTAGAATTTGAGAGATTTAGAGTCTATGCTGTTTAATCAGTTGTAATGATTGGTATTTATATAAGATCACGAGGTTCGGTATTCACGATATTACTATTGCTCAGCTAATTTTGAATCATTAGTTACTTGTTATATGCGACTACTAAGTATATTAATTAAAGAAAATGTTAAACAACTTAATATAAGCAATTGCGTCAAATTTTGATGCTCTCTCTGTGTGATTGCTTTGGTTGATATAAATATATAAATGTATATATATAGGTATAGGTTTTACTTTTGATAATGAATTAGGTTTTGAGTCTATGCTGTTGAATCAATTGTACTGATTGATATTTGTGAATTGGGATCTGGAGGTTCATTATGCACGCTATTACTGTTATTCGTCTAATTTTGAATCTTTACTGTCAGTGTTATATGTGACTACTAAGTATATCACTTAAATAGTTTGTCAAATAACTTAATATAAGCAATTGCGACAAATTTTAATCCTCTCTCTCTCTCTCTCTCTCTCTCTCCCTCTACCTCTTTCAATTAATTATTGTGTCATATTGAGGGTTTGTTGAGTTAATTGTTGCTGTAACTTAGCCTGTTTGGAAATATTCGGTGTTTCTCTTCAACTTGTGAATTACCTGTCATTGTAAATGGTTATTTTTGTTGCAGTTGGAACAACTACCTGCAATGGTTTCAGGTGTTTTTTCCAATGATTTCGATCTGCAGCTCCAGATGACTACTCAATTCAGGAAATTGTTATCAATAGGTGATAAATGGTCCTTATAAAGTGCATTACGTTCTTTTGCGTGTTTTATGGTTAGGAGATGAATCTTAACAGTAGTGTTTTATCAGAATGCTGTTCCCTAATTGAAGAAGTTATTAAATCTGGTGTTGTGCCACGTTTTGTTAAGTTTCTTATGAGGAATGACTTCCCTCAGCTTCAGGTCTGGCATCATATAATCCGTTATCCTACCTTTCTTTTTATGTTTGTATAGATGTGATTGTATGTTTACAATCTATACTGTTTTCTATAGTTTGAGGCAGCTTGTTCCCTTGCAAACATTGCTTCTGGCACATCCGAGAATACGAAGGTGGTAATTGATCACGGGGCCATCCCACTATTTGTAAAACTTCTAGGCTCTCCTAGGGATGAAATTCGTGAGCAGGTACGTAATTGTGAGAGAAGATAGCCTCTTGCTTATCTAATCATCTAATATAGTGTGTGTGTGTGTATATATATATATATAAATATTATAATTGCTACTATCTTCTTCTCTCATCACCGTTGGTTTATTTTCTTGCTTTTTGGTAATGCATCGAATTATAATCAAATTTAACTGTAAGATAGTTTTCCTTTTGCAATATAAATAATGTATGTGGTTCCTTCTCCATGTGGACATGTAGGTTGTATGGGCCTTGGGAAATGTTGCTGGTGATTCCCCAATGTGTCGTGACCTTGTCCTTGGCCATGGTGCATTGCTTCCATTGCTGGCACAAATTAATGAGCATGCCGAGCTTTCTATGCTGAGAAATGCTACCTGTACGCTTTCAAATCTTTGTAGGGGCAAACCACAGCCTGCCTTTTATCAGGTTGTTCTCGCTGACCTGCTGTTTCCACTTCTATCTTGTGTTTTTGGTACTTACATGTCAGATCATGATAGACAGTGGCTTGCTCTGTGGTTCATCCAATTAAGCAACTTTTATAGTTTACAGAATAAATTTTGTATGGGAGTAGTTTTTGGAAAACTTATAATTTGATGTAACTACATTACTCTGCTTAATTAATAAAGCCTTTTCTCAATTATTTGGTTGGCTGCATTAATCTTGTTTTGCCACTCTGCTGTGACGCCTTAATCTTAATTAAACCACATGCTATTATATATTTTCTAACTATTTTTACTTCACATGTATCATTCATAGACAGCTTTCTGACATTATGATTTTAAATATGAAATTTCTTGCTTCTGTCTTTAAAAATATTGCACAGACAAAACCTGCACTTCTAGCTCTTCAGCGTCTTATTCACTCAGATGATGAACAAGTGTTGAGTGAAGCATGCTGGGCTCTCTCATATCTTTTGGATGGTACAAATGATATAATTCAAGCTGTTATTGATGCGGGGATGTGCCCCCGGCTAGTTGAGCTTTTGCAGTAAGAATTTTATTTAGTTTTATATTGTTTTTGGGTACTTTTGTTTGTGGATTTTCCTGTCTCTCCTGCTAGTTGTTATGCATCCTAAGACTGATATTTTCTTTATTTGGGAATTTTCAGTCATCCTTCTCCCTCGGTGATCGTTCCTGCTCTTCATGCAGTTGGAAACATTGTCACTGGAAATGATATGCAAACTCAGGTGCATGACATCTGGAACATGTTATCTTTTTATCATATATTTATCAATTTCTTTTTCATTTTAAGTTTATATTTTGGGGTTAATTTAAAGAATGGGGTTTTGTTTGTTTTTGTCATTAAAAATCATGTGCTTATCTTTTCATGCTTAAGGTTATATCTCATGATTTATGAGAATAACATATAGTCAAACATGATTTTATGGAACATAACCAGGGCATTCTTGTGGTAGCATGTACTTTTGAGTCATAATTCTTTTATTGGCTCCTTTTAATTGCATCCTCCAATACTGCTTCTGCATCTGACAACTGAAGCGCAGACAAAACTAAAGCTTGACGGATACTTTAATTTTGTCAAGTTATTGCTTCATGGCTAAACTAATTAGCTTTAACTATTGCTTCAGTGGCTCTAATTTACATTTGGGTGATTGGTTGATACTGATTGAGGTGTTGAATAGCACCATTTATTATAGCTCAATCAACAGTTTGGTGTTGTTGAGTCATTGCTTTTATATTGGATAGTTAGGCCTACTGTAAGAAGAAAATATATATCACGCGCTGAAAAAATCCCCATTGAGGATGGGTTGGGTGTGTGAGAAGGATTCTAATTCATATCTCTTGTAAGGATCTTTAATATTTTTACTTTATGTGATCCTTTTATGATTACTTTTGGTGGTTTTTTTTTTTTTTTGGCACTCTCATTCCATTATAAATTTTGAAATTCACTTGAATTTTCTGTTATCGTGATTCATTGCTATGTTGTAACATTTTTGGACCAAATGATGTGCACGATTATTGCTTGATGTTTAAAGCACAAAAATACATGTTTAAACTACTTCATTATTTTGAGGGAATTTGATAAAGGGTATCATTGTGAATTGATATGTTACATAGACCCTTCAATAGTAGGTGAACTACCCGTGGTCGGACATGGGTATGGGTGTGTGTTCGACACTTTTCGTTGGACATGTACCTAAAAACGATGTCTAGTAATTAAATTTTATTAGATTATTGCTTCAAAATGAGTGAAATGCCAATATTGCACAACCATGCATGTTACATAAAGACCTTATTTTACCTCAAAAAAATAAAATAAGATTATTAAAAATATAAATATTTAGCAGTTTCCATGTGCCTTTTTGTTTGGGTATTTGACACATCCAATGCGGATATATATCTGCACCCGACACAGTACCCGAGTTCATGTAACATTGGTAGATTGTTGAAATGGTTGAATTGTAGGCTTAGTATATAAAGTGGTAGGCTTCAGAGATGGGAAATTGCTGAAGTTTTTATTGAAAGGTGCTAAGATGCTGAAGTTTCATAAATTACGTGCATTGGGGGAAAGAGGTTTGTGAGGTTGTGGAACTTAAAAGTTCTTGAGGTTGGTTTCCGTGTTGAAAATTTTGAAATAGTGATGGTTTGTGAGACCTTTACTCGAGGCTTTGATATGCCAGTAGAAAAGGTGCTTTAGGGGGGTTGCTTAGGTCTTAGTCTTACAGGGTATTGTTTTTGCACTTAACTAACTTTTTGAATTTCCCTTGATCCTTATTTGAAATTCTGTTAGTTAGTTGTGAGAATTGATATTTGAATTCTCTTTTAGACCCTTTTATTGTCAATTTCCTTTACTCACGGATTTTTACGTGAAGAACCCAAACTGTAAAAAATCACGGGACCTAGTTTAGACTTGCACAAACCAACATTTGGTGATTTGCTAGGCTGGTTTTTTATTTTTTATTTTTGAATTCTGATAGTTATTTTTATATTTGTAATATTGCCTTATTAAAATCCTATTAATTATAAGTTGCTAGGCTGTAATTTTTTTATTTTTATAATTGTTTATAATTGTTTATTTTTACCCAACTGTAAAAAATCTCAATCAGGATTTGCAAAATTGTACAATCTAAAATTATTAAATGACTCTGATCATATTAAAAGAGCAAAGGGATATGATCATATACTGTAGAATCTCCATGTGATCAGAGTTCATATAATTAGCATTTCATAATTAAGTGTTGGTTGTTATGTCATATTGAATTAGTATTTGGTTGATTGTGTAAAAACTTGAAAGATTATCTTGATTTCTTTTTGTTGAAAAGCAACTTTGGTATCTGGATTTTCGTAAGAGAAAGAAATGAGAACATAAAGTTTTGAACTTGAATTCCTATGCACAACCTTACAGCTTTTATGTTGCAATGTCGGGATATATGCCTTTTGAGCTACATTCTCATTTTATTTGAGTCACATTCCATATGTTTGGAATAAAAATTCTATATATTTTATGTCTTAGGCTTGTTCTGGGTCTATTTTAAGATTTCTTTGTCTATACATATAGTTGCCCTTTTTCCTATTTATTTTATAAGATTTACAATCTTCAATCCAATTCTACAATTTCATCCCATGTTTCCTTCCATTGATCTAACATAGGATGCTAATCTAAGAACCTTAGTTGATTCTATGATTCTACTTTTTTCGTTGATCAATTCCAGTGAATTATTCATTTTTATGATTGGTGAAGTTTCCATCCAAGCTAATTGATTTTTCTTGTAATTCCTCCAGCTTATCATCAACCATCAAGCACTACCCTGTCTTCTGAATCTGTTGACAAGTAATTACATGACCATTAAGAAGGAAGCTTGTTGGACCATCTCAAACATCACTGCTGGCAACATGAAGCAGATTCAGGTAAGCAACAGATTTATGAATCTCTTTTAAGCGTCATCTCTTTGGCCAAATTTTTGGCATTGATTTGTTTATATAATTGAAACTGGTTGTTTATAAGAAACTGTTTTATTTTGTTATTCATGTTATGTACGGTTTATGCATGATTTTTTAAATTCTGCAGGCTGTGATTGAGGCTAATATTATTGGTCCTCTGATCCATCTCCTTCAAAATGAGGAGTTTGATATCAAGAAGGAAGCTGCATGGGCAATCTCGAATGCTACCACTGGTTCCACTCACGAACAAAGAAAGTATGATATTCACGTCCAGATTTTGTTTACTGTTATTAATGGTATTATTGCATATTTCAATACAAAGGTTTAATTCTATTTGTTGGTGACAGGTACCTAGCGAGTCAAGGGTGTATCAAGCCATTGTGCGATCTTCTTGCTTGTTCTGACCCGAGGATTGTGTCTGTCTGTTTGGATGCGCTTGAAAACATCTTGAAGGTTGGAGAAGATGAGAAGAATCAGGATCGTACTAGAGGTGTTAATCTCTATGTTGAAATGATTGAACACAACGAGGGGTTGGAAAAAATTGAGTATCTTCAAAGTCATGACAACAGTGAGATTTATAAGAAGGCAGTAATGATTCTTGAAACATATTGGGAGGACGAAGAAGATGAGTTTGAGACAATGCTGCCATTTCCTTCCAGCCGCTTCAAGTTCAACTGAAGGTATGTATGCTCTAGGTACCTCAGATATCACTTTTCGATAGTACCGGTTTACACAATTTATCTGGGAAATTGCTGCGTGTTAGGTCATTGAAGAGGTTGCTGAACTGGCTCGGGTTTCTTTGAGTTGCTGAGGTAAATGATCAGGATTTAGTCTTTTGTAGGGTTCCACAGTGTAAATGGTTGAGTCTTTTTAATTGCTATTGTCCTTGTGGTCATTAGTAGAATTCCCTTTATTCTAACCGTGGCTGGGTTAATTTCCGGAAAAACTTTATCCTGCCCAGCTTTTAGTTACGAGGATCTTGAGAATTTTGCATTTGCTCTGAGAGAGTATCATTTTCTTTTTCTTGTAAATGTCTCGCTAGTGTCCGATTTTTCTTTTCTTTTTGGTTATAGGGAATATTGTTTATAACTGTAAACAAAATATAGCTATCAAAATCCTTATTGAAATAAAAGGAATGACGAGTCTTATACATACATTTTGTGTGTCCTTGCTGATAATTTTGATTGATTGGTAATATCAATGGTGAAATGGATATGTTCGAAAGTCGCTCTTTTGAATTTTCTGAATTTGTTAGTTTGAGAACAAAGTTTGCTTAAGATTATTGACATTCTCTGCTTCATCTCTATACTCCAACGTCCTTGGTTAACGCCGTGAAGTAGTAGATAACGGGTGGAGAGAGGACACAACACGAAGAGCTTGAGCATTCATCGGCATATAGTTTTGCTGAATGATAATTTGATAGAGGAATAGAATGACCGTTACTAGTGTACATGTATACTGAAAAAAGGAGGAGGTAAACGGTGATGCTAGGATTTTTTCAAATTTTGGGAACACCAAATCGGAGAGTTTGGAATCCGAGGAAATTTAATTAAATTTTTGATCTAAATTTCTTCCCATTTTAATCTGAATCACTAGCCAGATTAATACAAATTCTTTGATAATTTTGACTTGTTCTTATGTCTTGTGATTTTAAATCCCTTTCACGAAAAGATTGGACCGAATCGAAATTAGGATAGTTAATTAACTACACAAGAAACTCCATTAGCATAATGTATTTTTAATCACTGTACCAACCAATTATAAGCTTCCCAACATAAAAAGGAAGGGTTATTGAAAACAGCCTGATTCCCACACGTGTAGACCCCAATCCATGCCCCTATCGGTACAAAGTATACTTTTTCGCATCTTTTAGGGCATGTTTGGACTCAATTTCTTATTGGGTGTCATTGTTTTTAAAAAAAAAAAACTCAACTGGTATATGATTTGTCTTTTTAGTAAGTTGGGAGTATCATTGTAATTTATGCTTTTTATTTTTGTAAGTAAAACGTGATAAACAAGTAAACAAAAAAATATTTTATGCAATAGAGGAGGCTATTAGCTCGTAATTGGTTAGGATTCCTAAAATTACATAGATGGGCTAATAGCTCTTAATTGTTAGGATTCCTAAAATTACACAGATTGCTCAATCTATATATAAAATCAGCTACTTTCCTTTTTGACATATAATACCGATCAACTTAGAGAAGGGCACTTTTATCTTATAAATTTATATATTAAATGTTCCATAATGGTAAGAGATATGCTATTAATTAGCGTGTAATTCATTGAGAGTGGACATTGCACATCTGTAATTAGCATTCCTCATTTTGAAAATACCTAGTCAAATGGCTTTTAAGACGTCCAAGCAGATTTAAATGTAATGCATTCCCTAGGCTTGTGCCAAGCCTAACTACCAGAGATGGTTCGGTTAATTTGCAACCTTACTATGCTAATGTCATTTACAAACAATAACATGTTTGAACTACCACTGTGTCAATTTTGACAACAATAACATGTTTGGTGCGGCCTCATTTTATTTTACACAGTGCTAAAACACTTCGTGAATCGTAACCCAAAATCGAAACACTAAAAATTTGTTTTTCCATATTTTGACAACGGTTAATGGTCCAAAACCATAAGAGCTGCTTATTTTTTTTCAAAACACTCCTATAATAAAAACACTACAAAACGTATACCAAACGGACCCTTAATGGTACTTTCTGAGGTATGAGAATACAAGTAGAAGGTGAGAGTACAAGTTGTGTGCCATGTAAATGCGTTTTCTTGCCATGGTATAAATAAAAATGATCAAACAAATTACAATAATACCATAAGACAACAACAGGAATTGAAGGCTGAAGCTTGATTGGAATTTGTCGGCGTTCATGAAACAGCTGCCGGAGCCACCTGATCGCTCGATCTAGGGCTTATGACGTCTCTCTTTTACACCGGATGTGGGTATGCCAAAGACAAGGGATAGTCTGAACCCTTCTAGACCAATATTGTCTTTGTTTGCTATATTGGGCCATATTATTCGTCTTGTTATTTTTGGGTTGTAATTGGTTATGCGAGTGGGCCGTCCATGATTTATGGGTCAATCACTCTTACGATGCACTTATGTAAATATTCTACTTTATATAATAGGGTAATTTACACTGACATTTCCTATGATTTGCTATAATTACAGGCAATACCTTTTCTGTTCCGAAAATTACGCGAACCTCCCCTACTTTTGAAAATATCCTACACGGACCTCCCTTATGTGTGACGGACTGTTAAATACACCAACAGAGTTGTCAAAATTACTGAATTACCCTCTCTTTGGCATCTGAAATTACAAAACTACCCATTTGAAACTCTGGGCTTTCTACAATGCCGACTTTATTTCTCTTCCCAGTAAATTTGCCGCCGACAACGTCATATATTTTCGATGACAAAAAAAATTAAGGTAGCCCTCAAACTCCATAGCGCGTGAAATTTTTACAGTGACGGAGTCACAATATTTTCCAAGATTTATTTATGCGACGCATTCATTCAATTTTCACGAAGAAGAAGAAGAAGAAGAAGTATAGCCCTAATCTCTATGGGTTTCTGGATTTTTGCTTCTTCTTCTTCACGACGCAATCTCCTTAAAAATTTGATAGTTGATTGCCACTAATTTCCGATTGTTGCAATCTCTAATCTCTACCAATTTCTAGGTTTTTGATTTCATAGTATACTGTGCAATATATATATATATATATATATATATATATATATATATATCTGAGGAGGCCAAAAGTGAAATGGGCCGGATATAACCCGCGAACATGGCATCCGGTCCGAGCAGCTGGGTCCAGCCCATAGAGAAATACTGCCATATGGGCCGAACGCGAAGATCCCATCAAAGAGGACCAAAACCCACAGAGGAACTGGCCCGGATCTAGTAGTCCATTAGTGTTTGTAAGTATCTATAAATATGAGAAGTAATGGATAGAGAAGGGATTGGATTCTGTTGAAGTGTAAGAATTCTAGAGAGAGAAAATGGAAATGAATTCCTTGCATCTTCAATTGGCGCCGTCTGTGGGAATCGTTGAAGATTGATTGATCATTGATCAATATCGCGTGGATTCAGACCAATTCGTGAAGACGAAACTCGATCTTTGGGAGTTAGATCCAGATCTGAGCGATTGTGACCTATTCTGGAGGAATTTTAGTTCCTGTTGCTTTGACGGAAGTGGCTTCAGATCTACGCAACAACGAGTTGTTCGATTGTGGCCGGATCTGACGGATTTAGAATTCAGAAAATTCAGATCTCATCAACCGTAAGCATAATTCGGAGAATTCGAAACTAGATCTGAAAAATTCGTGCTCACGAAGCTCAGATCTACTCAAGAACTTGAGATTAATGTCTTTACTCCGTTCAAGAATAATGATAGGTGAAAGCTCCAATCCGATGGAGGCTGTCCAGCAAACGAAGCTTGAGGAGTTGATGAACTTGATCGAAGCTCTCAAAAAAGAGAATGCAGAATTGAAAGCTGGAATGCAGCATCAGCAAATACTAGCGGTTCCGCGTCCACTTCCGGCAGGTGAATGAGGTATTCAATCTAATATCGTACATCAAGGCGAGCAGGACGAGAACAATCAATCAGCTCTCCACCGTGATGAAAGAAGGATGGACGATTTGCCGCCAAATGTTCGTCGAGTTAAGGATCACGAAGGATCGACTCATATTGATCCGCGACATGAGCAGATCAAACAGAACGAAGCCATGACCTTCGATCCGCATCAGAAAAGGTTCAACCGAGAGGAAGTGATAGAGGTTGATAGCCGCCGAGTTGTATCACCTTGGCAAAGAGAGCTCATTGAGGAACGGTCGTTCGATCCGTCTTACCGACCCTCCATGGCTACAATCACTCATCGCGGTTCGGAGAGCAGATCTGTAGCTCATAGAGCTACCGCTGGGCTCCAGAGAGAGAATGAAGCACTCCGATCCGCGGCTCGGACGGTTGATTCACCATTCACTGATGAGATCCTGAATGCTCCGCATCCAAGGAAGTTTGCCATGCCAGTCTTTATTCTGTTTGACGAAACAACCGATCCGATCAATCATGTGTACCATATCCAGTTGAAGATGGCTCTGAATACGGAGAACGACTCTTTAATGTACAAATGTTTCCCTACAAGTCTAGCCGGACCGGCACTTAGCTGGTTCAAGAACTTGCCTAGGGGTTCCATTGATAGCTTCCGGAACCTGTGCGATCGGTTCATAAGCCAGTACTATGGGAACAAGCGTCCGCCGAAAGACATCTCGAGCCTATTCACAATGAAACAGCACAAAGATGAACGTCTCCAGGCTTTTCTCACCAGGTTTAACCTCACTAAGAGTATGGTGATCGAATGCCACCCTTCTACAGCGGTTCAAGCCTTCAAGTTGGCCATGACACGTGGCACTCCGTTCCATACCAGTCTGGTAGTGAACACGCCGACGACTATGGATGAACTCAATGAAAGAGCCGATGGCTTTGTGCGCCTAGAAGAAAAGGAGGCAGCCAATGCTCGGACAGCGTCGGTCGTGTCGACCGAGGAAAAGTCCAAGGTAAAGATCAGGCAGAAGCAGGCTCAGCCGCAACGTCAGACCTCCTGGAAGGCAGAAAAGAGGTCCAGGGAGGAAAAGCTAATCACTCCGTTGAAGGTCA